TATCTGATATGCAGGATGGTCTTAGGTGACCCCTGTGAAAGGGTCGTTTGACCGCCAAAGGGGTCGCGACCCACAGGTTGAGAACCGCTGCAGTGGTTGCTGACTTAAGTAGATACACATTTCAACGTGAGTGCTTGGGAACCGTGTAGAGGACCCACCCCCAGGGATGCTGCTTTTTATTCGGTTTGGTTGGGATGGGGTAGTTAGTAGATGGGTTGGGGATTTGGAGCTGTGTATGTTTAACAAGCTCCATAGGTCATTTTGATGGAGATAAATGAGGACCACACTGTGAGAAACAGTTTCCTTTGGTAATCTAGAGCTAACCTTCTGAATGAAGTACCAGACTATCATGTTTCCTTGGTTAAAAAGTAAAATTGAAAGGATCTGCTCTGAGGTTAATTTTAATGTTTCCTGTCTTTGGGAATAGCTTTAAAGTCTTTGTAAACATAATGTATTCCAACACACAGGAATGCACAAATAAAAAGGTTTTGTTTTGAAATTTCTTAAAACCTTTTATCCAGTGGAAACTACTCAACATTTCGATGAACATCTTTCTAGACATTTCCCTATGTACAGATTAAATGTCTAAATTGTATGTAACTAGCATATATCACACATGGGGTTCTAGAAACAGTAAGTAAACTGCTCACTTCCCTCAGCATTATGTTTTTAGAAAATACTGTATTAAAAACTTCAAAGTTGCTAAGAAGTTGGACCTTAACTGTTCCCACCACAAAAAAGAAATAATAATTATGTGACATGACATAATTATGCTCATGCTACAGTGATAATCATACCGCAATATGTAACTATATCAAATCAACACGTAGTACACCTTAAACTTACACCGTGTGATATTTCAATTATGTCTCAATAAAAATTAATTCAAATAGTTCACTAAACTGAAAGGGGGTGTCAGAGGAAGAGGTTTCACACCCAAGGATAGAATTTGCCAATTTCCTCCATTATTTCAGACTTTAGGTACTAAAATAATAAATTTGAGTCAAGTTTTTCTCGAACTGTCTTTCAGCAGTTAAAAACAGACAGCATATTTTTAAAAATTATAATTGGATTTTTTACCCTTGCCCCCAGAACAGGGCTCACAAAGCTTAGACTTGAATGTACCTCTCAGTTTTCCCGAAGATCTTCTGAATGCAGGTTCAGCGTCAGTAGGTCTGGGCTGGGGTGCCCTCTTTTGGCAAAGCTCTACTAGTACAATTGAAAAATAACTGGGAAGCTTGCTGGAGGGGTGGGAGGTTTGGGGGGCGTGGCGGGGATGAATAGAAGCCCACAGGATTCTAACCGAGTCACAGGAATATGACCTGGCTAAGAAAAGGTCTGGGGCTTGGTCCTGCCCCATGAACCCCTTTGAAGATAACCAGACACTAGAGTGGATGCCTAAGGTGAAGTTGGTTTTAATCTAGAAATTTACTTCTGATTCGAGGACAGACAGATCTTACTCGTTTATATTTTGTACACTAAATAAAATCTCTAATTTCCTTTTTTAAAAATATAATTTTATTTATTTCAGAGAGGGACAGGGAGGGAGAGGTAGAAACATCAATGATGAAAGAGAATCATTGATTGGCTGCCTCCTGCACGCCCCCTACTGGGGATCAAGCTTGCAACCCGGGCATGTACCCTGACCAGGAATCAAACCATGACCTCCTGGTTCATAGGTCAATGCTCAAGTACTGAGCCACACCAGCTGGAAAAATCTGTAATTTTCTTAAACCTCACCACAACATTTTGCTCAGAGAGATCAAGTAACTTGCCTGTAAAAGTAGCAGAACTGAGATACAGACCAAACTTTTTCCTTTTTGCACAGAGGACAACCTTTCTGAAAGAAGGAAACTGAATCAACCTCTAAATGACTATTCAAAATAATTTGTGTCTTACTAATATTGGAACTGAAATTCTCCTTTAAAGTACATCAAAGGTGTAGTTTATTGTTGTTGTTTTTTAATCCTCACCTAAAGGTATGTTTATTGTTTTTAGAGAGAAAGGAAGGCAGAGAGAGGGGTAGGGAGGAAGAGAGGGAAGGAAAGAGAGAGAGAGAGAGAGAGAGAAAGAGAGAAACATTGATGTGAGAGAGAAACATCTATCAATTGCCTCTTGTACGAGTCCCCCTGGGTATCAAAGTTGCAACCTAGGTATGTGCCTGACCAGAAATTGAACTTGCAGCCTTTAGGTGTACTAGATGATGCTCCAACCAACTGAGCCTTACCAGCCAGGGCTGTTGGTTCTTATATTTACACATCTAGAACACTATAGAGAAACTAGTTTGCTATTTATAAATTTATAATTTGCTATATTATTGGAACTAAGTGTAATCAGGTGTTCTGACTGATTTCTGACTGCTAAGAATTATTTTTGTTAAATGAACTTGGATATCAAGAGATCATTTTATTAAAAGTATTTATTGAAGGCCTACTAAATACAGGTACCCTACTGGGTCTGGATACTTTACATAAATTACTTCTCATAAATTTGGCCCCATAGTTTGCCTAACCCTGCCCTAATCCTTCTAACAGTTCTGCAAGATAAGTATACTATGCTCATTTTATGGACAAACAGTAACTTGGAAGAATTAAGAAAATTATAGCTTCCCAATTTAAGAGTCTACACTTCTTAATTTAATGCATTTCTTTTTCTGGTACATGGAAACATACATTCTATTCTGTAAGCTGCCCTTTTTATTTAACAGTATGCTGTTGTTGTGTTATTTACAATGGCCAAGATATGGAAGCAACCCAAGCGCTCATCAATAGATGAGTGGGTAGAAAAGCTCTGTGGCTCTGTGGATAGAGCGTTGGCCTGTGGACTAAAGGGTCCCAGGTTCGATTCCGGTCAAGGGCACTTGGCCGGGTTGGGGGCTCTATCCCCAGTAGGGGGCGTGCAGGAGGCAGCCGATCATCATTGATGTTTCTATCTCTCTCTCCCTCTTCCTTCCTCTCGGAAATCAATTTAAAAATGAAAAAAGAAA